AATAAATAGGACACATATGTAAATACTGAACAGTTTCTCTAGTGTGAGAAACTGAAAGAGTAAATAAGGACTAAAAGGCATAATAGACAATGTGAAATATGAAGGGGCAAAAGAGAAGAGGAAGTGGGAGGGGTAGGGGAAAGAAGGGAATGAAATTAATATGAGAAATGAAAAAATGGAAACAAAGTCTTTGTAAATAGGGGGAGATGGAGGATGAAGGGAGGGCAGGGGAATGGGGAAAAAATAAGAACCAAGAGAGATTATGTAAAGGCACAAATTACCAATGATGAATGTCATTATATTGAATACCCTAAATGTACCAATAAAATTTAAAAACTAAGTTCTAAAAGGCTGTGGGATGTCTTCTGCAACCCTAGAAACTCAGCAGCCACCACTCAGTGCTTGGGATATGTAGGAGCTTGGTTATTTGCTGAGTGGAACAATGTACACACAAAGCTAATCCATGTGCAGAATTCTTGATAGCCAACCCAACGTCCCCTGAAGATCCCAAATTCTGCTTCCTTGAATATTTCTGTCATTTAAACTTTCACAAAGGCGTTTGCTCATTAGCTCTTTTTACATAAGAATTCCGAATGTAACTTCCTTCTAAATTTCAGTGTGAAGAAAAATTTTCTACAGACAAACTGAGGGGTCCTTTTATCAAGTGTAAAAATTAGTCACCCATTGTCTCTTTTGGCTAGGCTGCCAAGAAATTCAGAGATACATTTACATATAACTGCAATGACCATCCTATCTCTTGGTAAAATTTCTCCTTTAAATTATATCAGATTTTAATTTTGTTATAGATTTTAATACATTATTTTAAAATTTACCCTTTTTAAATATTATCTAATGTCTGCGATAAAATAATTTTGCTTTCTTTCCCCTTCCTCTGCCATCTCATGTTGTTATATTACCATTTCAGATGCTCCATTGGTTACATTTACTTTCACAACTTTGATAAAGTATGGTGCAAGGAAATATTCCTTTACCATTTTAACAAAAGGCAGATTAATAGGAGAAAAGCATATAAATTTACGTTTACATGACACAGGAGTCCTCATAAGAATATGAATACTCAAAGAAGGAATTAAAGAGTTGAGTGCTGATATACTGGACAAAGAGTAGTAAATCATGAAAATCCCACTACACCAAGAAGTTTGGGCTAGGGCAGTTAATGATGAAAAAGTAACAAGGAAGATAAAGGTTAGTTTAAGGTTTGTTTGTTCAGAATATTATTGGCCTGATGAGAAGGATGTAACTTTTCTCCTGGTATTGGGAGGGCACCTTCAATATAAGGGTTTAATCTAAGAGGAAAAAGGGGATGTCAGAGCGATCCTGCACGTTTGGGGGGTGGAGTACTGAGGACTGAATCCAGGGCCTAGTGCTGTAAGCACTCTGAGCCCCATTCCCAGCCCTTCTCATTTTTTTGAGATGAAGCCTTGCCAGGTTCACCTGGCTGGCCATCAACTTGTGATCCATTTGCCTCTATCCCGAGTAGCTTGGATTACAAGCATGCACCTCCTAATTTTTAAGTATCTTTAGTTCAAAGTAATCCTTATGATAAAATGGAGTATTCTGGGATGGCATATTTCATGACTTTCCAATACTCATATTAACCTCTACCAGAGATAGCATCTTTTAATTTCCCTCTTTCACTGATCCCCTCACAAGATGAGGCTATTTACATCCTTTGCCCCTTAGGTCTCCTTTTACCCTTCTCCTTCAGCCTTCTAATTTTTATGAAGTTGCTATGGTTTGGGTCTTAAATGTTCTCCAAAGGCCCATGATAAAGGCCTCCATTTGGGACTGGGGGGTGGTGGCAGCTTGAGGAGGTGGAGCCTAGTGGTAGGGAGTGTCTCCCTGGGGTGCAGGCCCTTGAGGAAGTTACTGGGATCCCAGTCCCTTATTCTGTCTCCTTGCTTCCTGGCCGTCACAATATGAACAGCTTTGCTCCACCACATACTCTGTGGTGACTCAATGCCTTTACCCAGGCCCAAAACACCGGAGCCAGATGACTATGGACTAAAGGCTCTGAAACTGTGAGCCAAAGTAAATCTTTCCCCATTTTAAGTTGATTTTCTTATTTTGTCACAGCGACACAAACTCAGTGGTCAAGGTCAAGGTGTTCTAACTGATGTGTACCATGATTTATGGACTTGTTCTAAAATAGGAAATTACTGTTAATCTTGGACATAACATTTCTGAGAATGGTAGTATACTTTGAAAACACTCTTATATTGTTTTTTGTTCTTCTGGAGCTCCTAAGTGCTTTATTTGTCCTACACAATGTCCATTTTTAATCCTTTGGTAGTGTACCAGAGCTAGAAATCATTTCAGTTTCCTCCTTGCCAGTATCTTTCTGTATGGCTTCATAAATTAATTACTTTGAAGTCAGCATGGAAAGTGGGGGCCTTGGTCTTTTGGAAAGTCATAACCCTAGCTGATTTCTAATTTAGGCATTTTTCAGGACTTCAAAGGAAATCTGTTCTTCATTAGTGGAAATTCTAATACTTAAATCAGCTTCATGAAAATATAAGGTTAAAAGCATTCCATATCACTAGCAGGGGAGAAAACCTTCATGCTTGAATGAAATTAAGACTTCCAAATTAAGTAGGAACCAAATTTTTAGAAACAAAGAAAATATTTTAAAAATACAGCTAGCAAAATAAAAAGCTGATGATATGACAAAACATAATTCCTAGTAGTGATGAGTATATGGAAACATTAAAAATAAAATTTCTGAACTTCTAGATAGGAAAATAAACCTCAAATACATGGTAAATATGCATTCCCCCTTAATCAAAATATACTTTATGTAGGCTTAAAACAATACAGACAAGTTTAAAGCTTTTAGCTAGCAAATTTGCTTGTCAACTGAGCACCTTCCATGTGAAAGGGCTATTACAGGCAAAAAAAAAACAAAAAAAACCCCAAAGTTGTATTCAAGGACTTCAGTCCAGAGGTGGCAGGCATGAAGGTGATTAGTCATGAAGGATACACGTGATATGAGGTGTCCTGTGAACACGGGGCTCTGCACCTAACACAGGACATAACGGGGGAGGAATGTAAGGACTCAATGATGAAGCTGAGACCTGAAGAATAAGGAACTCTTGGCAGACAAAATGAAGAAAGGGCACCACAAGAAGGAACATTTCAACAGAGTGAGGATATAGGCATCCTAGCCAAGTAGATCATCTGAGTTTGGCTCACGTAAACAGGGCGGGGATGAGAAGAAGCTGGAGACAGGAAAGACAGACACAGACAGGTCACAAGAGGGCTTATAAGTTCCATTCCAAAATATCTGAAAACTTTTCAAAGAAATACTGTAATCATATTTGTATTTTAAATATCAACAATAGGCTGAGAGGAGTCAGGACTTGACAGAAATCCCCATGACAAAGTTCGAAAACCAGTGTGCATTAGTCTGCATTGCTAACACAACGCCACAGATGGGGTACCTTATACAGCAGAAATCTGTTTTTCCAGATACAGAGGCCAGAAGTTCCAAGAACAAGGTTCTAGTAGTGCTGTGTTCTAAGGTCTCTTTCCTTGGCCTTCAGACAACTGCCTTCTTCCTGCATCCTTCTGTGGCTTTCCTGTGCACTTTCAAGATGTCTCTCTTAAGGACATCAGTCACACTGGATTAGAGATCCACTCAACAGCCTCATTTTACCTTCATTCTATTTTAAAGGCCCTATCTCCAAATACAGCTATATTCTAAGATACTGGAGGACAGGACTTCAACATACAAATTTGTGAGGAGGCACTGTTTTTTTTTTTTGGTACCGGGGATCGAACTCAGGTCCTTGCGCTTGCACAGCAGGTGGCGAAATCACTGAGCTAAATCCCCAGCCCAGAGGAGGCACTATAAAGCTACAAAGCAGTGAGTGGCAGTAGGAAGGAAGTAAACTGAAGGACGGTGAGGAAGTAGAAGTCACTGTGATTTGACTGTGATAAGTCAGCTATACACAAAAGATAAGGAGGTCTGCCTGAGTTTTGATTTAGGCAATCAAGCAGGCTTCATCCTGACACATTAGGCAATATCTAAAAAACAAAATGAATACAGAAGGCGACTTAGTATGCCCAGAATAATGAAGAGTTCAACTTCAAACATGTTGCAATTCAAGCAGTAACAGGTAAGTGAAAGTAGAGCCTGGGAAAACACAATATAGATGGAGAAGTGTACCTTAACCTGTCCACAAAGAAAATGTAAAATAAGAACAGAAGGGAATGAAATCCTGGTAATTAAGCTAGACAAAAAAAGCACGTGCCAGACAAACACAAGGGAGGCAAAGAATCAGAATAGAAAAAAGAAAAGTGGTTCAAAATATTGAGACCAAAAAATTAAGTTATAGGTCATTGCTTAATTCTTTTCCAGAAACTTAATGATATTTTACTTCAAGGGCTATGATGTATGTTTTCTAAATGAGCTCTAATTTATGCAAATAAATTAGAATAATTTGTGATTATATTTCATTAACCAGAATGTGTTCAAAATATTCTACTGATATAGCTTTCTCTGTATCATTTGTAAATTTCGAATCTTTAGAATGAAACATATTTCTAAATGTTAATGTCATATATCAAAATGATCAGTAAACTGATTTTTTCAGGATTATTCTTAACACATTCACTTATGCTGGAACATAAATTTTGAGGTCATCAAAAAATAAATGACACCTACAACCATGTACACACCTTAAATGCTCTTGTAGAGGTGATATCTAATGGATTAATATTTCAGCAATATAACTTAGAATGCCACAGTCTTAAGCAGTTTGAATTTTTCAATGAAACCTACTGGAGTGTAACTAATAATTTTATGTAAAAAAATGAAAACAGTTGCATATGGGAATAACATTTACTTACCAGCTCTACTGTGAACACTGTTTTTACACAATCAGATGTAGATACTTTAAAATTCCACATGGCTCTGTATACACTAAAGCATGGAAACCAGTGATTTATGATTATGTTTTTAAAAAGCAACACAGGGGAATATTCTGGAAGATTTTAATCAATTTAACACCAGTATACATTAAAGAAAAACATTTTCCAAAAACATTCCCTCACAAAGCAGGTAGTTTTATATTTACATCACAGTATTACAACAATTTTAAATGTTAATCTATGATACAATAATGTCACTTCAGAAAACATAAAAAATATATTTCTTTTTAATAGTCATGCTCCCATTTTTGATGAAAGCTCACTTATCCTAATATTACTTTAAAACTATAGAAATGCATAGCAGGTATCCAGTCAGCTTCATAAACCCTTTACAACAGAAGGCTGTCAAACAGAATAGGCAGAAGGCTCCTCATCACTTAGGTCTGAATCTTCATCTATTCCTTCGATGACTGATTTCTTCCCTTTACAACAGGATACAATTAATCCAATCAGGAATACCTGCAAAATTAAATGAGCTGTTGGTTATTTCTCAAATCTAAAATCATTCAGAAGTAATGCATTTAGAATTCAATGGCAGTACTGTAATACTAATGAGTTTGACAAACATTTAACTTTTAAAAGGAAGGTCACATGGAGCTGGGATGGCTGTACTTACCCCAAGAAAGGCCCAGTTACCAAAATAGTACGCAGCACTAAAGAACCAGAACTTGTGAAGGAAGAGGTATGTCCGGGTAACTGTACACTGATCTATAAAAGCAAGTAAAAGACTATGGTAAGATACTTCCTTAGAACTGACAGTTCACTCTGTATCTAAGATGTTATTAACCACGCTAATTACCAAGAGCACACTGCCAGTGAGTGTTAGAAGACTGAGATGTAGGTTTCTCTCCAAAGCCCACCCTCAATCCCCTGAATGTAGTATTAAGTGCCAACTATTAGGGTCTAGTTTTTAAAAATGAATGCCACCATCATAAGGATCATAAATATTAAAAACATTATATTGGCTTGTTCAATTTATTTGAAATAGAAAAATAATTTCAACTGGCATATCCTGAAACAAAACAAAAATAAAATTTATCAATTTAACAATGACTGTCAAGAAACAATGGACAAAGTATCAGATATGGTTAGTATTAAGTTGCACTTTTCTAAAAAACCAATTCTCAGGATAGTTCAAACTTGAGGGATTTTGTTTTGTTTTGTTTGTACTAGGGATTGAACTCGTGACCTTGTGCTTGCGAGGCAGGCGGT